TGAAAACCTCAACTGATTTTGGTTGGACGTGCTTTATGATTCACTTTCGTTTCTGGTTTTTTATCACTCTCTTGTTCTCTCAATGGTTTCCTTTCTTTCTCAATCTCTTTTCTCAATGATGTTCTCAATGTTTCCTCCTCTCTCAATCTCTCTTTTCTGGTTTTTTATAGTTCTCTTGTGTTTTCTCACTCTCTATTTTTATGGTTTTTCTCTCTATCTCTTGCTCTACATATGCCTCCCTTTGTTTGCAGCTGCTCATTTTTTTAAGCTCAGCACATTAGGATTTTCCCTCCTTTTAAAACTTCAGATTTTTACTTAGAAATGTCAAATTCCACTTTCTTGATGCCACTCTCTTTCTTTCCATTTTCATGTGTGCTGCTATGCTGTATTTTTGCTGCTACACTTGCCTAGCCTGCCTTTTTTCTGCTGCACCTTGTATTGCTCTCAAATCTTGTACCCATTTGTTGGCTTGTGCTTGGACTGCCCTTGTGGTCAATGTTACTACCTTTGACAAAATTTTTAAATTTTGATATTTGATGTGTAGATGCATCACCATGAGTTTGTCCATTTGGTTTTGTGACATGAATTGTTTGGCTATGAGGCAAATTGTCACTTCTTGCATGGGACTGTTTTAGATCACATTGAAATTGCCCATGACTAAGCATGCATAGTCTTGATCTTGAAATGTTCCAATGGTAAGTTACCTCTTAAATATTTTTCTTGGATGTTTGTAAGCATAATGAGGAACATGTGGACTTGATGGGGCATAAAGGGTACCATAGCATGAAATTGATTAGAAACTTGAATTAAGATTAGAAATAGCTTGATTTTCTAAGCATTACTTATAGTTAGAAACTTTGTAACAAATGTGACATTCTTGTAATGTCATGAAATTTCTCTTTGTAATCTAATCTTGAATTTGGAATGATGGATCTCCCTTATGCCATTGAATTTGAAATGAACGAAGTCTTGAATTATGAATTTGTGATCTTTTGAATTCCACTTGATCATAGAATTTGAAATAAAGTTGGATGAAGAAATCTTGAATTAGACCTTGCACTTCATGTTCATTAGGAATATTGATCTTGAATATCTTAATATTTTTCAAGTAACTTCTCCTTGAAGGAATCTACATGAGTAGACTTTCCAACTTGAACCAAGCCTTAGATTATGAACCTTTTCTTCCATGTAGTCCATGATAGGCAATTCATCTTATTTGAAATAGAAAACAACGAACCGACTCAATCCTTACCTTGTAAACCCGCATGTTTGATATGCCCTGGTGATTTGATTCATAGAAACTCCTGATCCCATGCAAAGTATGATAATGAATTGCAACCCAATGGTGATGCAGATGAACGCAAAGCAAAAACTAGTTAAGATTAGAAAAAGGAAGGACAAATTTTGGGGTGCAACATTAGGTATTAAGCGATAAATTTTATTCAAATTAAATACTAAAATTTTATAATTTTTAAATATTTTTGTAAAATAAATGTGTTAATTAAATTAATATTTTATTTAAAATTTAAAAATTATATTTAGTGGATGACCCATAAATTCAATTCAACCCATTGCTAAGCAAGCTAATTTGAGTTAAATTTAATCTTAAGAGGACGAGTTAAACACTCAACCCAAATTAAAAATTTAATAATTAAATCTAGTATTAAATTTAATTAGAACATACCCAACCCACAAACACCCCTAACTAAAATCATATTATACTAAAAAAAATCAAATAATAATATATTTAATTAATTAATCAATTAATTGATTCTACATCGGATAATTAATAAAAGGTGCATTCTTTTCTCCCCTTCCTCTTGATTCATTTTAATATTTATGTAAGAGAGTTTAATTAATCCAACTCAATCAATCTCTCTTGCACAAATATTCAAATCCAATCAAAATCAATTTATATATTTTCTTTCGATTTAGACCTTAAATTTTCTCGAAATCCAACTAAATCAATACAAATGTAAAGAATTTTATCCACCATTACATTCATTCCTTAATTATTATTATATTTTTCTATTAACAACAAATTACACAAATAAACAACATTTAAACCTCGAAAAGAAGAAAATAATCACAGTACAAAAGCTCCATCGAATCGAAACATCAACAAAATGCAGCAGCTACCACTTTCCCATTAATCACACACACAAGTCGAAGTTTCCACCGAAATCAACTCGCCGGAAACCGCCGCCACCGCGAACAACACTCCTCCAGGTTTTCATTTCTTTCTTTTTTCCACTCACCATAGCACGCACTGATCCGATTTCACCACGATTTGCGGCTGCGATAGCCGCTCCTGCATGTCAAAGCCATCTCACAAAAACTCTACTCCGCACCGCGATCTACTGCTTAAGCGGCTCGATTAACAATTATCACTGAGCTTATTTTGTTGATAATCACTTTTAGATATGTTTCTGCTTTTTTTTTTCAGCTTTTTTGAAGATGAAGTAAGCATAAACTTAACCTAGCAAACGAAAATGGGGAAGAGTAAAAAGAGTAAGAAAAAAAGAGAGAAGACGAGTCCTAATGATATTGATAATACTAGTGTTTACGATGTACTCAACTGTGATGATATCATGCATGAGATTCTACTTCGTGTTCCACCGTCAACTCTCTCCAAATTAATTATTGTATCCAAAAGATGGCTCTCTGTTGTTTGCAGTTCTTTGTTTCGCCGTCGCTATTTGACCCAATGGGGTCAAGATTTTCGACATTTAGGGTTTTTTGTATGCAACTTTTTGTACCTTGGAAGGCCGCGTAATGGTGTATGTCGCCCTTCTTGGGAGCCTGCGCTTCCGTTCTTGTCGACCTGTAAAGAGGGTGATGATTTTATGCGGTCTGGAATCCTGAAAAAACTTGGTTACTTTATTGATTCTTGTAATGGGATTATACTTTCTGGTGTGCACCCTAAGATATATTATGTTTATGATACAATAGCGAAGAAACGGTATCAACTTCCGGAGCCTCAGCAGTTTTATAAAACTCTATGTATGGCGTTGATTGTTGAGGAGTATCTTGAGGGTGATATTTGCTACAAAGTGATTCGTGCGAAATGTGAATCTAAGCTTAAGGAACGCAACACTGTGTCGATTGAGACTTACTCGTTGAAAACTGGGAAATGGAAGCAATCTACTCTGATGTGTTCAACATCTTTTGCATTGGTCCCGAGAACTGTTGGTATGGTGGTGGGAGGAGTTGTACATTGGCTTGCAATTTGGGGGAAACTTGCCATTTATGATCCACGTCTTGGAGATAGGAATGTTGCTTTGGTTAAATTACCGACGGGTGTGTTATCGCAGGAGCACGAGGAGTCTGTTCTTGGGGAATCGTCGGATGGGCTTTTGCAGTATGGTCAGAGCAATAACTTGGGTCTAGAGATATGGATTCTTGAGAAGGAGCCGGGAGATGGTCCATCCACTTACTGCAACTGTACTCATTTGAAGTACAAATGGGTTCTGAGGTGGAGATTGAATTTCAAAGCAATATGGAAGCAGATACCAACCTTTAGCTTGTATTTTAAAGAGACTCAGATATTGTCTTTTCTTCCTCAGAATTCTACATCTGTGTTTATTAGACTGGGCTGGAATATTTTCCTGTGTGATTTGGAGACCAAGACTGCGGAAGTGGTTAATTATCAAGGGCGAGGAGCTTCCATTTCATGGGAATCTAGTAAAGTTGTTCCTTACTTTCTGCCTGCTTGGCCACACTCTTCATCTGTGTCAGGACAGAATGGAACATGATCTATGTTACTTCAAAGACTTGTCTTTTTGATATCTAGATGCAGTTGACAATTTCCATTTTGTTTTCAATTAGGATAGATAAATGGAAGTGAAACTAAAGCTTTTAGTATCTTTGTTCTGTTCTGTTGTAGCAGTCTAGTTAACCTTCATTTTGCTAGTATATAGAATCAGTGGCATGTACTGTTAATACTAATAGGCTGCCTGTTAATCAAATTCTCTATAAAAAATTGCTACGTCTGTCCAAGTCTTATTTGCATAGAAGAATTGCAGCTGGAAACAGTCATAGGAATGAACTCACTTTTCTCACCCAATCTGTTTGGTTTGGTTTGGTTTTATGTTATGAATGGTAATTTTACTTCATACATTAGAAAGTGATGGCCCTCACACTAACCATGTTTATTGTATTTGAGGTGATAGTTTCTTTTATATTGCCAAGGGTGTTTAAAATTTTCAAGTTCATTGTGTATTTCTTTATGGTACCTACATTGTAAATTTTCTTGAACTCAACCTGGATTGCGATTTATTATTCAATTAATAAACATGGCATGTCACCAATGATACCATAATTAATTATAAGGAAAATGATAATGAATGTCTTTAAGACATTGATTAAAGAAATTAAAATAGAAATAATGTTTTGTTGGTGTATTCAACCATTTAGAAGTTTAGAAATGGTTGTTTCTAATATAAAACTGTTATTTTTTACTTCCTTAAAGAACCTGAAATACAGTAGAAACCTCGGATGTTCACACATATAATGTTATGCAAGAGCCTAGGAAGCCTAATTCCATACAGGAACGAAATTTCATTGTCATATCAGATGTTAAAATTGCCAACAGGCAAGTAATGAAAATATAATGAAGTGAATAGCTAATTCTAAGAAGTCCAGCTAAATAATGTTTTTTGCTGACACAAGTTGTGTAAATTGCTGTATATTTTGCAAAATTCCTAGGTACAAAATCTTGTATCCTAAGCAAAACAAGGTGCCTAGAGGGAGAAACTTAAATGAAAATATGGTAACAATTACATGGGCAAAGGCAATCTGTTTTTACTCCCGTCTGAAAGGCTAGTTTCTGCACCGTAAAATCTGCACTATGTCATCTCTTTTCAAGCTATTGAGAAATAAAATTTATGATAAATACAATCTTCTTTCTGATGTAAAACAAAAACATGTAACTGAATGTGAGCTGAGCTGATATCTGGACAAAGGTAAGAGGACCAGTGGTTCAAATCCGCAACGAAAGCTCAGTCTGGGCGTGGCAACAAGAAACTAAAGCCAGAGTTCTCACGAATTAGTGGTGGGGGTTCTATATCAGATATATCTATCTGTTCCTTTGACTTTGATATGTCATCAACAGAGAACGGAATACTGCAAATGAAATGTCAAATATACATTCAGTTCTTAACAACTAGTAGCATGTGTAACAAAGAGGAAAGAATAAATTTAATGTGAGTTTATAAAACATCTTAATAACTGGAAGCATGTGTAACAAAGAGGAAAGAATTAATCTAATGTGAGTTTATAAAACAAGAACAATCTAAGCAATTAGTATTTACATGAATGAAGGCTTACCTTGAATCATCATCCAACAGGAAAGAATTACTAACTGCATTATTTGAATCTTCAGTCATCAACACTCGCATATTGGATATTACCTAGACGAAAACATTGATATGACAAAGCTCAACATAGATTTTTTCCGCATGTCTTTGATATGAAGCTATCCTACTGCTTTCTGGGATAGATGGCTTTAAACGTAGTTTGAGTAATGGTTTAGTTTGAAAACTTACATCAGGGGACACACTATGTGTGCCGTACTTGTCATCCCAGTACATGGTACTAATTCGATATAGCTGCTGTATACTGAGGACCTGTGAACAAGGAACTGACACTGGTAGGTATTTGGAAAAGTGAAAACAAGAAAAGAAGTAAGATTGCTTTCACTTACTGGACACAGGTCATGACTTATTTCATCCAGCGTTTTCTTTGGTTTTTGATGTATGACCTAAATTAAATGAAGGAAATATCAGTTTTTAATTGTTTACTCTGTCCATTTGAGAAAGTACCATGCAGATTGCAGATAGATAGATACCAGAAATCCAATAGCTTGCCTAATATGTTTGAGCTCATCCCAGGCTGGACCTGCATACTGCAATTTTTTTTTTGTTGCCGTGAGCGGGGTGTTAGTATGTATTTATACATAACTGAAAGATCTGCAAAATTAATAGTAGTATAGTATTGCACCTCATCTGTTGCCTTGTAACACCAATGCTCCAATTCAGCCAAACCAGCTTTCACATATTCTCCATTACTAAACGAGCAGCACTCCCGTCTTAAGAGAAGACTATAAGAAAAAATGAAAATGTAAGACGGTAAATTTGATTCGCGGAACAGAAAACAATCCCAAAACATGGAAAGTGGGATAAAGCAAACCTATTAAAGAGTTGGACATTGATGAAAGAAAAAATTTGAGTGAAAACCTTGCGAACCAAAAATGGGGGAACCTGCCAAAATGAAGCAGATTGGGACCAATTAAAAACATATATTTAACTCAACCAACAAGAAATAAATGCAAACATAACAAGTTACCAAAGAAAAATGCAAATAAAATAATGAAAGAAGAAAAAACATATAAACTCTCTACGGTAAAACAAAATTATGCAAACTTTCCTTCTTGCTCTCAAATTTACACAGGCCTCCTTGTTTTAATGATCAGAATAGATCACCTTTATTCATATTTGAAATTAAAAAGAGGCAAAAGTAGTTATAAAATAGCACCAAAAAGAGAGAATTCATGCAGAAACAGAGGTTCCACTAACATTATTTTCTTTCAAAGTATTTAAGAAGTTCCCAAGGCTCTTGACTATCCCCTGCCAGTGAGCAATCAAGGCTTTTTGTGCTTCAGTGTTTGCAACTGAACGTGATGATCCCTTAACCAAGCTCGCTCTGGATGTTCTTGGTGCCTATCTCATTATATTCAAACAGTTGCATGTTAAATCATTGAATTTGAAAAGCAACGTAGGAAATGAAAAGCTTTACAAATTTATGAAAGCATTCAAATGAAGAAATTGATGTACCTGGATGCACAATCCAAGCAAGGGAGAAATTTCTTTCTTCAAGTTATCACGAATCATTCCGTAGATCTTTTCCACATAAGCTGTCAGCTGCTGTTTGAAAAGCAGAGCTGGGTACTTGGCCTCAACCTGTCTTAATGTATCTACTCCTGCACTATTGCTACCATTGATCATGGAAAGACTGACTCCTGCTGGAGCTCCACGGAAACTCTGCAACAAGGGTGAATGAAAAACTATACTTGCCTGAAGAAGGAAAATTTCTCAATGGGGATTTATCCGTTTCAAGTTAGAAGTTATATTTACTTGAGTCATCCTCCCAAACAGGGTTGCTGAAGAAGAACGGCGGCGTTGAGGGGCCATTCCAGCAGCACCACTCGCCTTAAGTGTGCGCTGGAGCAACAAGAGAAGTGTAGAAGCATTGGATAACCAATAAGCCAAGACATTGTTGTTTTCCTGGGTCTGAAGTCCAAAAAAATATTAGTGAAAATAAATTTGTTAAGAAAGTCTGTGAGAAGAAAAAAGAACTATCGCATAAAAGTTGAGCATTTTAAACCTCAATTGCATGGCCTATAGTTTGAATTATACGATCAAACACGCTGGTACGCTCAACTTCAAATGATCTCCAATGCAAGAGGCACTTGTATATGATACAGGCAGCAATTGGTCTATTCCCAGCAAAGCCTAAATGTTGTGCAATACATCTAATGAGCAACTCTTGATTCTCTTGTTGTTTTTCATTCAGTGACTTCTGTGGTTTATCCTCCACCTCAGCGGAATCCCTGTGGTTCATTGATGAGCTATGTATATCCTGAAAAGTTTTTCAAGTGCGAAAAAGTCAAGTCCCCATAAACATATCGAATACAAGTAACCATAATTTAAAATAATTTGTTACCAAATGTGGCGGCTTTGCTTCCGCTCCAATATGTCCACTGTCAACTCTCTATCAACGGAGATAATAAAATCGTATAAACAATCTTTAACATTCATATTATCATGTATATAGCATTTATTCCAAAGAGTACCTGAATAATTGATCTGGAGCGTCCTGAGAGGAATTTATTAGGTGCCATGGAAACAGCTTGTTGACGTAGAACTTGGTTCTCTGATTCTAAATTACTAATCTTCTCTTCTAGCCTAATCATTGGAATGTGAAATTTTGGTCATACACCTCACCGAATTAAGGGTAGATATGAGTGATATGATATTAATTTTTAACTAGAGAATTAGATATAAATTCAATTATCATGGCCGCCATCATCATTGCTACTTAGTGAAGGAGAAAAATAAAGAAAAATAATGTTTGATCAGTTAGCCAATAGCATTATCATACTTCTCATGAGTATGCAAATGTCTGGAACAAGATTTTAGGTACTCACGGAGTTTGAAAGATTCCAAATCATGAATCAGTTACATGTACATTCCAATCCATCATCTTAAGTTTTGATCGTCATTGGTCAGCACGGGATAAAAGAAATAGCAGGGTTGTGGTTCATTTTTAATTATTACCTGGTCAGTGATTCTTGGAGCTGACGAGCCTTCTTTTCTGTGTCTTCTAATTTTTGACCCCTTTCTTCACTTAAAGCTTGGGCTTCATTATATTTCCTTTCAAAATCATTACCTTTCTGTTTCTCCGCCTCTAGTGAGGTCTGTAAAAAGATAAAACCAAGGCAATATCATATACACAAGATGACCACTATACACCTCACAAGAACTTGAGTGTACCACTAAATGCTTAAAAAGATATCACACTACTCAGTGAGTTTGTGCTAAAACAATCAAAAGATATATGCTTAAACATTTAATCATTTTATAATCCCTTGGTACTGTAATCTGTCTGATAAATTTTCTATCATGCCTCTTCCTAACAACTTAAGCTTCTAGGTTGATTGATTATTGACATTAGCTGTGCTGTTTTCAATTTTTCATTAATTGTGAATATCTTGACATAACTGTCTAGTATTAATTCTAAGCTTTCTTACCTTTAAACTCTCAACTTCTGCTGTTAGTGATTCAACCTTTTGTGTGTCTTCAACAATAACCTGCGTCTCTTTAATAACAGGAGGTGCTTCTTCAATAGTTTTCTTTGCATTCTCGCGCTCCTTTACAAGCATGGCATTGGTTTCATCAGCTTTGCTCTGCAGATCTTGCAGGGAATTCTGCAGCTTTGCTATCTCTTGTGCTTTGGATTCTTCTAGATTGGTCTGCAGAATTCCATATAGTTTCTTTAGAGCTTAAATAAAGGATATACTTGGTCGCTTGCATAGATTGATCTTTTATTCTGCCTTCTTTTTTATTCTCCATTTGTGCAAATTTACAAAACTCATGATTGTGAAAAATATCAGACAAATAACATCCTCTATATTTTATCTGACTGCAAAACATATATCTCACCCTTAAACTTTTTTCTAGTTGGAGGCGCCATGTGAGTTCCTCCACTCGTTTTTCAAGCTTATCCTTTGCTTCTTTAAGAGCACCAGTTTCTCTTGAAGCCTGTAGCACATGGAAACATATAACAACTGAGAGTTGAGAGAAGGAGAAATGCAAAAATCAGGAATAAAAAAAAGTGAGGCCAGTGCTGCTTAAATATTAAACAATGCGTCGTGTATGAGCAGCTTAATTGGTACAATTTGATCATCCATATAACCGCCAAAAAGAATGAAAAAAAATTGTGCGATGACTTTCAATTCAAGTTCCTGTGATTGGGATATGCTTTTTTGTTGTTTGCATAGAAGATTTATTGTGCATCTACCTAACATGTTTTACATTAAAGCAACTAGAAAATAAAGATAGGAAATAAAGCTTTTGGATCCAATTGTTGAAAAGTTAAATCCAATTTCAGATTAGTGAAATCCAATTATTGAAAAGTTAAATCCAATTTCAGATTAGTCATTAGAGGGTGACTTTTATTTTCTTCTGTTGTTTTTCCTTGAATGATTTGAGTTATGTTGGCTGGATACATTGCTTACCATTTTCAGACTCCTAAGCTCTTTTCTGGCTACACGCCCCCTCCATCGGCATTGTGTCACAATTGAACCTTTCTTCAGCCTCTTAAAATATGAGGAAGCCCTGTAGCACCGCCAGCGAGCCTGAAAATTTTTAGAGAAAATTTAAATATTGAATACTTATGTCCTTAGTCGACAGTCCTAATTCTACAAGAGTCAACTATAACCTGAATAATGGTGGCAGCTTTAGTCCTTTTCTTATAAGTGAACTCCTTACGGGCAGCGATTGCCCTCAAAGCCGTTTGCAAAGTAAGCACTGATGCATGGAGTTTACTGTAGGCTTTCCTTGATTCATGTCTGCGTATGTACTTCTGAATTTTCACAGCAGCATCCTCCCTTCTCATGTTCTGATAAAGTTTGCATGCAAGTCTTCCTATAGAACATATTATGCGTGTGAAATTGAAAAATATGTAAAAAGAAAGGAGACTGATCAAGCAACGAGATTTCCTACATAACTGAGAGACATAATTTTATTTAAGGAAGTTCATATAATATTGCACCTATCCAAACATATGATTCAGGCTATTTCATTTATCATTTTTAAAATACTTCACCTCTCCACAGAGACTGCACGTATATGGTTTTCTTTCGTAATGCAAGATAATGTCTACGAGCCTGATAGGTTCGTACACGCCGTTGGATAGTTTTTGCAGCTATACTTAGAACTTGAGCTCTCTGAGCATCTAGTTCAGCCATCTGACCTGCTCTTAGAAATACCTTTGTTTTTCCAATCTACAAAATGGACAGCCGATCAAACGATTTTGGTCATGAATGCTAGTGAAGCATAAATATATACATATATGCATGTTAAATGATCATAAAATATCCTTACTAGCGTACAAAGTTGATGGAAAATAAAAGCTATATTAATGATGTAAAATCCATGAATTATGGTTGTTGTTGTTGTTGTTGTTAACATTAAGGTTTCAAGATACTTAAACAATAACACGAGCAAATAATCATTTGAAGTACCTGATATCCTTTAAGCCCCATCTTTTCTAGAATCTTATGACAAACAGCCTTCTCATCGTTCCTGCCCAAAGGTGAAACAATATAGAAGATCAGTTGGGTGGAAAATGTTTGAGAACATAAAGACAAAACTTTCTCCATGGCTTTAAAAATGAATAGAAGAGTTCTTACTGTGCTTCTGTGACCTCTGGAGCAAGGATGGAAAATCGATTTATAAACTCAAAGAAAGCACGACGAGTTGGGTACCCAGCACAACTAATCCTGATCGCCTCTAAAACACCCTGTATGATAAAGCATTAGAGACAACTGAGAAAAGGCTGAAAACATGAAGAGACCTATGGTCATACTTTTGTATATGCTATCATCCTATGAATGGAAGGAGGAACATCAAAGTATACTCACACCACAGCGAAGTTGTTGCATAATATTGACATTCTCAAAAACTGCTGGTTTGAGGAGGTTGTTTGGTTTCACGCATCTAACATAATGAGGCTCCGTTGAGTTTAATGTCTCCATTAGTTGCTGTAGTTGCAGCTGCACAATTCAGTATATGAAAACATGGTTTGTTAGCTTCCCGATAGTATGAGTACAGTCTAGTTTTGTAAGCTATGACACGGGTACATGTTGAAGCAAGAAGTTCATTGTTACTTGTGACAAAGTCCACATGCTTAAAAGTAAAGATTAGAAAAAGAATGATACCTTAAAACGAGAACCAATAGAAGAAAACTTAGAAGATTTTGATGACTCCTCTGGAAGTTGAGGAAAAAGACCCGCTACAAAAGGACATTTGGAAGAACCCAATAAATCTTGATGTTCAGGAACCACATAATCCTTGTTTTTATCTAAAAATTGGTCAGACTGGTACTGCACCTGCACATTTACGACAGTAGAAATGGATAGGCCTAAGATGTCTCATTTTTGCGGAAGCTGATGCTATGAGAATAAGTCATACCTCGCCTGCATAATGTGCAATAGTGAAATCTGTTCGAGACAGTTTTGGTTTAATAAAGCGCTTGTGACTCTTAAATGTTTGATAAAGCTTGTTTGAAAATGTTTCATGTGTTGACTTTGGAAACATGCTGAAAGACAAGAGGGGGAAAAGTTAGACTGAATTGGTAAATTTGATATGATGTGTAACAAGGAGATTAAGATTTCAAACAATGCAAAAACAGGATCATATAACCAAAATGAGAAAGCAAAACATCATCTAGCAAGCTATGAATTTCCATTCTCTTAATGAATAAGTTAAGGGGAACAATATTTTACCAAGCTTCATCTAGGAGAGCAACAATTCCTCCAGGTTTCTGCAAAAGGAAAGACGATGAGTAAGACTAGTAAGGAAAGTAGAGGAGGACAAAATTAACGGAAAGGAAGAAAAACGGATGGCATTTTGGCAGACTGAAAAAAATGACGAAGTCACAACCTAGGGAAAGATCACTCAATAACAGTAGTTCCTTAATTGTGAACTTTTGTTTGTCTGAAACCCAGAGATGAAAGATTTGTGTAATATACTCAACAGGGATCTTGTGGTTCAGTTCAAAAGAAGCAACTATAGAACCACTTAACCATGTTTGTTTTCACCTTCACCCCTATCCCTTGTCCCGCTTATCTTCCTTCTGTGCAGTTGTTTTATAATATTTTAGTTGATTTTTTCAAATTGAACTAATAAAATTTCCATTATTTATAGTCACATAAGATAGAATGTGGGATGGTATTTAAACATTAAGATAGTTATATAAGGCATTGACATTTAAATCATCAATAAGCATGCTAGAGTTGACAATTCGTTTCATTAAATTTCGGAACATCTAAATTGACTGCTTTTAAACTCAAATTGAACTATTAAAATCCTCAAGCCCTTAAGGAAAGTGACAAAACGAGAAAGAAAACCTTTTCAATAAGGTCCAAAACATCTTGGTTGTCAACAAATTCAATGTAGCTCCAATCGATCTGTTCCTTCGTATATTCTTCTTGTTCCATTTTAAACACGTGCTGAAGGTCATCATGAAAAACATATTAAACAGGAAAATAATGGTCATAACAAACTGTAACTTCTTATCTGGTCTGAGATTTTGCCTGATTGAAATGCTGCTGCAACTTCTCATTTGTAAAATTAATGCAGAACTGCTCAAAACTGCAGACAATGAAAACTGAAAAATAAGTTGCAATGGATTAAAAACAAGCAGACACTGCTGCTTTCACATCTTTATTAATGCAAGCTTGTGGTGTATCAAGTGGTGTGCTTCTTTTTCTAAACTACATGTTACCTATTAGATTTAAAGCTTTCGAAACCATAAATATCAAGGACCCCGATCAAAGATTTAGAAGAGGCATCTTGTCCAATTGAATTGTTAATCTTGTCCACCAACCTGTTGACAACCATTTAGTGCACCGGGGATCAAAACGAGAACTCTAGATCCTCGCCTTATGTATTTTTGGATCGAACTAGAATTATGAAGGACAGAAACTATGATTTGTTTCCATTTTCAGTATCTTACCAGTCAAAAAGCCTAGAATAAATTGTCTTTGCGAAGCCATCTCTGCTGACAGCTGCACTTTGGGGATCAAGGCTCCGTTTTATAATTTCCTCAGGGGTAACCATGACACGCTTACATAATGCATCTTCCAAGCCATCTACATCACACCTGTAACAGACAAAATCCAATAATGGCAATCATCTAAGAGGCAGTAGGAAGTCATATGGGCATTGAATAATAATACACTTTGATCCATACATGAGGAGATCGGCAGTTGTTTTTAAGTGAAATTTGGCTTTATCATCTTTTGGAACCGATGAATCAACTTCCTTTCCTTTGGCAAAATCTATATTACCAATATGAAGAATTGCAGCAACAACTCGGAAAATTGCTTCCTGACAAAAGAGACATCAGAAGAAAGTAAAAAGAGGTGAGAATCTAATAAATCTGTGTTATAACATGGAAAAATGTGAATCCACACTCATGAAAAGAAAAACCTGCTCTTTTTGACTTATTCCAACAATATCCATAGCTCTTCTGGTGGCAAGATACTCACGAGCATCACTTACATCAGCCAGTTCAAAGCACTTTGATTGATTAAGGTAATGAAATGTTTTAGGATGTCCTAATTTGTATTTCTCAATTTCCTATTAACATAAATTGTAATGAGTTCGCATAAATAAAAGAATAAATAAAAAGTAGATTGTGCAGACAGTAACCTCCTGTGGTGCAGCACAAAGAAGATAAAAGCAGTGGTAGTTGCGTTCCGGATCATTAACTTGGCAAACCCGAGATCTTTCAAGAAGGTACGTACGAATAGCTGCGCCTGAGATTCTTCCACTTTTATCAAATTGGATCTCAACAAACTTACCAAAACGACTGCACCATAAAGCCAAGGAAGTTTTTTTAACTAGTTTTTTGGTAAGAGAATAAAGGTTAAGTAGTCTTCATCTAGTTGTCAAAATTGATTAATGGCAATCAATTTAATGGTTGCCACATTGAATATTGGCATTATGATAGAGAATTGAGGAATGCAATGAGACAAATTGGACACAAATTTAATTTATATATCAAACTATAAGGGAGAATGACACACAATGAATCACTTTTTCCCATATATAACAAAGACTCACAACAGTTAATTTATGTATCAGTTTATGATAGAGAAATAAACACAAGATTATTTACTGCTCACATGTAAGGAAGACTTGCCTGGAATTGTTATTTCTGACAGTTTTCGCATTACCAAATGCTTCCAAAACTGGATTTGACTGCACTCAGATCAGTCAATAAAAAAGTCTTAAATGAGTGGAAGTTCAAGAAGGAAAAAATGAAATTTTTGTTGTAGGGGAAGAAAAATGTAAATCATACTTCAAGAACTTGTTGTTCGACTGTCCGTCCTTCAGTGGCTGCCCTACCACCTAAGAAAGCAAGATATTGCATAAGCATTTTTGTAGTTTCAGTTTTACCAGCTCCACTTTCCCCACTGACCAGAATTGAATTGCTTTTCTTTTCATTAATCATTGCTCTGGTATTAATTCAATCATCAAGTTAAAATTTGTTTCAATGATATAAATGGAATTTGGACTATGGGAAAAAAAAAGTAAAAATACCTATATGCAACATCCGCAATCGCAAAGACATGAGGGCTTAACTCTCCAAATGGCGCTCCCTTATATTGTTGCATCATGTGTGCATCATAAAGATGCGGTAGTTTTTGGAATGGATTTATTGCAATCAGTATGTTTCCAGTATAAGTCTGTCAAAGTAATTGAAATGGTTAATTGCTTTTAGGGCTGATAAAACAAGTTGCAACTTATCATATCAAAGAGAAGAGAGCCTTACATATATTTCATTTAATTCATATCTAATTTTTAAGTTCTCCAGGACTCCAGGCTCATGCAAATATGACAATTTAGTCATATCATCCACTCCCCCAGGCGGAGCTTCCATATCTTTGGGTAATATTTTTGATAACTTCGCAACAATCTAGATATATTCAAAATAGAAGCACAAACATTCAGAACTTGCTTTTTCCTTCCATTACATTTTGCACCTTTTACAATAGGCAATAAAAATATTCCAAAAGTATAAAGGAATTTATTATTTCCTAACCACATAACAGAATGACTAGTTGCAATAATTCAATTAGTGCAAAATTCTACAACAGGAAAACAATAAAAAAATATAGGTTTAGCAAATTTAGGCTACAAGTCCAATGATTTTGACAGGAGAATTTTGGGAAATTATACATTGATAATTTTCCTTAGATTCTAACAACACTTCGAAGCTCAAGCTGAAGCAGTGAAGGTCAAGTAGGATGAAAGAAAACAGCCCTTAAGAATCTCATAATTGTACTTCTTAGTGTTTTCCTCCTTTTTTCTTTCCGTCTAATTGATGTTCAGATACAACTACTGGCTACTGGTACGATAACATAAATGATCGCTAAGTAGAGTTTAATTTAATCATTCCTATCACTAGTATATTCTCTTCTCATTCCATTAACTCGACTTACAGAAGAAATCAATGTAAACTGTTAAGCTATTCAGTACAGGTTAGCATTTATTCCAAGATGGAGTGAATAACTAAAATATCGATCACAAACCCATTCATCTTATTAAAGTACTAGTAGTTAGCAAAATCTCAATATGAATCCTATTGTAGAACATACTTTCTTTCCATTGGAAGTTTCAATTTCTGCATCCTGTCCAGTAATTTTTGCAACCTGTCCATCAACCCAAGATACCTCTGGATCTTCCACCCAGACATGAGAACCCGCAATAATATTCACAGGAGTTCCCTGCACACGGAGATAACAAATCGTCATAATTTTTTATACCTATGAAGCACAGACACCAGAAACACAAAACCGATAATCACACGTCGATTAAACCTAATCACAAGTTTTACATACGTCATTTTGTTCCATGCATGGAAATCAGAAAGCATGAATTAAGTATAAACAAAAATACATGTTGAATTGAATAAAATTGATGCAAGTTTGTAATGATCGGAATAACAGAATGCAGAATAACGTTACGCAATTAATGAGATTGGGGAAAATTGAAATGGTTACCATTATAGAGCAGTGAAGGGATCAGAAATGGCGGAATTGAGCATAGAGAGAAACAGTAACGGAAGATGAAAAGTGAGATAGCGTGAATTGAGAAAGAGAAAAATGAAAGAGAGAAGAATGAAGAAGTGAAAGTGGATCGAGTGGAAGTGAAATGTAGATCGAATGGTTCTTGGATGAGACATTCTTCAACACGCCCTGTAAATTCGCAACCCTTGTTCTTTCTTCTTCTTCCCTTTGCTTTCGCGCCAACTAGTGGTTACTAATCACCTTTCAATTTAACTGAATTTCGCTCTTCCCATCTCTTATAACCTTTATTTTTATTAGTAAAGTATAAAGTTTATATTTACTAATTAATTATGACTAATAAATAAACTCACATTTAATATTCTTACTACATGCCTAAAATAGTGTTATTTTCGGTGAAAGAAAACTATATGGAGTTTTTGTATAAAAATGTATACAGTTTGTTATTAATATGTATTTATGAAGGATGAACCCGCTTAAGACTTGTGAAGAATTGCACTAAGATTGGCTAAAACATTTGAGTTAAAAAGAATGGGAAAGTCAAAGTAGCTTTCATTAATATGGTATGTACCTACCCTTGACAATATAAATGTTACTTAAATCAGAGTTAAGAGTTTGCCATTTGTTTCATTACCCCTCGAACACCAAATTAAATTTTATGTTTAGTTTTATTTTTAGAAGATTTGAAGTGATTTTAGAGGTACTTAAGGTGTGTTTGGTTCGGGGTAGATGGAGGGGAGGGGAGGGGAGGGGATGAGAGGAGAAATTTTTAATTAAATATGTTTGGTTTAAATTTTAGGAGGGGAGGGGAGGGGAGGGGAGGGGAGCAAAATCCCTCCAAAACACACTTTTTGGTTCCCTCCGAATTGGGGGGATTTGGAGGGGAGGGGAGGGAATATGAGTTTTGATATTTAAAAATTATTATATTTACTAAAATATCCTTAGTTTAATTTCAGTATTTCAAAACTATTTGTTTTCTTTTGTGTTACTGTTTTTTCTCGATTGTTTTCATCAACTTATTATAATTATTCTTCACCTTCAAATTATGTAATAATTTTTATAATTAATATAAATCATAATCATTGTCTTTTTTATATAAAAAAATCATGTTTCGTTATATTCGTTTTTTTCTTTTAATTTTGTTATGTACTCTATCATTTTTTTTATATCAAATTGTAAACCATATCATTTTATTTATTTTTGTTTATTCATTTTATTAAATATTTTGAACCATTAATACTTAGTAATAAGTTATTTCATATATTTGTTTTGTTATATGATTCATCACAATTTAAACGATGTTATTAGCATATAGTTTAATTTATGTTGGAAAGTTATAAGTCGAATCAATTGTACTCAATTTTTTTAATTTTATGTGACAAATAAATACTTTTTTAATCACTCAATATTAAAAATTTTATTATCAACAAAAATACGCACGAATTATTCACATTTTAATATCATATGACTTATATAAGATCATAAGGATAAAAATGTAAATTATTAATAAAACTTCTCCCCTTCCCTTCTGAACCAAACACATTTTTTATTAAAATTCCTCCCCTCCCCTCCCCTCCTCTCTTTTGAACCAAACACTTATTTGATTAAAAAAATCTTTCACCTCCCCTCCCCTCCCCTCCCCTTCATTAAAATCCCTCCCCTCCCCTCCCCCTCATTTGAACCAAACAGACCCTTAGGGATGAAAAAAACACCTAAATGTGGATATTTGTAGATAAAATTTGTTATTTAATGAGTATTTATTTTTGTCTAAGTTTTTTTTTTTTTTTTTTGGATATTAATCTTGTGGACTCTTTATTCTTTTTTTAGGCAAAATATTTTTTTATTGTGTCGGAGTTTACTGGTAATGGAAACTCCTCCCTATCTATAGTGGTGAGGATTATGGTTCCACCTGAAAAGGCATTATTTACGATAAATGGTCATTCATAGTTAGGAGTCCACTTGTCCTGTGGGTCTGAATGTATTGGCAAGTATTTCTTAAGCACTAGACCGTCTTTCAAGAATACGCGAGGGTGAACCTTTTTGTCAAAAGCGTTCTTGAGGCGTCTCTAGTATAGTTGACCATGGAAAAGAGCAACCAAGCATTTTTCGTGTATGAGATTCAGCTGATAAAATCTAGACTGGATCCGTTCTACTTAATCAAGCTTGGCTTCCATGATGTCTCTCAATGAAGGAATTTCGACCTCGATTGAAAGAACAAATTGCATGACATATACAAGCTAGTGAGAACGGAGTTTCCCCAGTAGAGGCGCGTAACAAAGTTTTGTAGCCGTGTAGAGCGAAAGGAAGCATTTCATGCCAATATTTGTAGGTCCTTATCATTTTCTGAACAATCTTCTTAATATTCTTGTTTGTTGTTTCTACGATGTCATTCATTTTGGGTTGGCACGGTGAAGGATTGTGGTGTTCAATTTTGAAATCTTCGCACAACTCTTTCATAATTTTGTTGTTCAGGTTAGTGGTGTTGTCAGTAATAATCTTGCTAGGAACTTTGTAGCAATAAATTTTTTTTTTTATAAATCTTGTAACCACTTGTCGAGTGACATTGGTGTATAAAGCAATTTCGACCTATTTTGTGAAGTAATCGACAACAACTAAAATAATGTGATGATCGTTCGAAGCTTTCAGTTCGATCATTGCAATCATATCAATTCCCCACATAAAGAAGTGTCATGGTAATGTCAAAACATTTAATGGAATTGGTGGCACATGACACAGTAATATATTTTCTATTTTTAGATGATAACATAATAATTTATTCAAATTGTTGACATTTTTTTTATCTTAAAAATTATATATTTGGTCTATTTTTCTTTTGATCGAATCATCCTATCATTATTATAAATAAATTCATAACTTTAAATATTACTATTATAAACAAAAATAAATATTTCTATCATCATTATATGTAAATAAATAACTTTAAATTTTAATATAAACTAAAATAAATATTTTTGAATTATTTAATGTTAGTGTTTTTTTAATATATTCCTCTTTAAATTCAAATGTATTTAAATGTGTATAATTCATCTATTAAATATAAAACAATAAAGTTTTAATAGATTTAACATTTATTTTAAGTCAAATATATTATTTCATTATATTATCTTTTAAATTATATATGATCCTGACGATTGATCAGAATCTGAAGTAGATTAAAGATAATCGTCTGTGATGTTGGGTTTGAGAGAGGATGAGGAGGTGTACCTGCAAGACACTCCGATGCTAAAGTAAAAATTAGGAGGAAGAAAACAAGTACAAAATATGTGCATATCAGGGTGAATATTGGATACCTGACCCTCTCAAATGAGAGAGTTTTTATAGTGCCCCCAGCGCTTGGCCATTGGTCCTTATTTTCGGGGCGAGATAACCGTTTTCCGAAGAATAGGTAACTGCCAGAACTAGCCGTTGGAACGGGAAGAGGTGCCCATAACTAGCTGTTGCTACGGGCAAAGGCACAGTTATGGGTACAAGCATCTTGGCTGTTTCTGGATGGTGGAACCGTGCATGACGGGAAAGTCTTGTCGAGGAGAAGTTTTGGCCCAAGGGTAAACCGGTCAACCTCCTCTTTTGGAGGGGCAGAAAGGTAAATACTTTCCCCAATTGGATGTAGTTAGGCAATCAGACTGTTTTGGGAGCAGAAGTGGATTGGGTCATGCTTAGCTATTGGGTCTGTCTAGAATAGTAGCCCCCCAAGTCGTTGCTTTCGAGCATGGAAGTGATGACTTAAGGACAATCCGCATTTCGAGCAAGGTTGCCGCTAGCCGCATGGATGAGACAATGACTTTGTGCCCGAGGGAATTTGTGCCCGGGCATCTGTTACGATGCTTGTCGGGGAGCTCGAGGTACGAGGAGACCAACGATTGATGAGATCTGAATAAAGAATGTGCCACGTGTGCCTCGAGCCGTGTGTTGCATTTAATGCGCAATGATGGCTAGGTTAGGGTCATGATGATGCGCCCAGCTGCACGTGCTCGTGCCAGGGACTGCCTATAAATAGAGTAAGACACAACTCATTTGCACTTTTAGCTTATCTCTCTACCTTCGTTCTCTATTTCTGCTTTCCGTCGTCCGCCGCCGTCAAGCTCTGACCGACCACCGTACTAGCACCGGCCAAAGCCGTTCGAAACCAGAAAGCTCGTTTTCGACCACGTAAGTACGAGAATTCCTTGCTTGTTGTATGTTTCATTGATTTATGCTTCTTAGATTGCATGCGGTTAGGGTTGTAACAGCGTAGTTTAGGGTTGTTTCTGGTGGTTGTTGGTGGCAGACGGTGGTTTGGCCACTTTCTTCTGCTGTCGCCAAAGCCTTAGAGCTTAGGACTTAGAAACTTTAGGCTTTCAGCTGATCCTGACGCTGTAGCAACATGGGAATGTTCGTCGCCGACAGAAACTACTAACCTCCGGTGTGTTTATGAGCTTTCCGGTGGTTTCCCCTTGGAGATTCTGGGTTTTGTACCAGGGGAGTTTTTCCCCAAATGTGTCAGGAGATTTCTCGGGCATATCCCCATTGTTGACTGTGCCGTTTGAGTAAGGCTTAGAACGGGGACGCTTTCCCCGGGCCTTCGCGTGCCTTTTCACTTGACTAGCGGTGGAAGGGTGGATTTGATTTCATCATCGAAATCACTTTTATACTCTGCTTTTCAGGTAAGGGAGATGTCGCATGAAGCCGAAGAAGAGATCTTGAAATACTTGTCTGAGGAGAGCTCCTCGAAAGAAACTGAAATCGACAATGTTTCCATGCCTTCTGACGCTGGAGAGGTGCCCGTTTTAAGGACCACTGCTGAAGAGTTGTCTGTGGCCAAACCAATGGAGCACGCCTCACTTTTTGCTTCTTATACTAGGGACGTCTTCATAACGGTGGGGGCCGGGGGAGAGTGGAAGGTCCACTTCCCCAGAGAAGACGATCACATATGCTCGTCATACGGGGAGAGGTTCCCCATGTACGAGTATGTTTTCAAG